TCCATGTGTAAAAGATGCAAAGGTTGTCGTGAAAAGCTCGCTAGCTACTAGCTATATGGCCATGGTCGATTGCCTCGAGATTAACGTCACCGTCGTTTGTTAATTTGGACTGATCAAAGTGGAGTTGTTTTTGGTTAAAGGTGATCATAGCGGCTGATCGTCAGGAAAAGGTTGATTACTACAACAATAATGGAGTGATGAGGTAGTCATTCTTGTGATAAGCTAGCAAAAAAAAAAAAAATGGTGGCATATAGCTAGCTTTGTTCATATATGGTGGTGACATAGCTAGCTTTGTTCATATATGGTGGTGACATAGCTAGCTTTGTTCATATATGGTGGTGACATAGCTAGCTTTGTTCATATATGGTGGTGACATAGCTAGCTTTGTTCATATATATAAAGTTCAATCATAAGGCAGAGACATAGACAAGATTGTGTTTTAATTAGAGTCATATCACAATCCTATTCCTTCGTGACATGATCATACGAAGGCAGGATAGAAATCCTAGTCGATCGACCAGCCCTGGACTAGGTTCATCCTGATTGCACAGAGAGTATACGAAACAATTTGGAGCAAGGATGCACAAGATTATGAACTATTAATCACGGGAATGCGTATAGATCAATGGGCACCGAATGTGGATGAATTCGGTTTACGATGAGTGCATGTTTATATATCATATGACATGAGATGATCATGTGTAATAATGAAGTCGTGAATGTTGTCTTGTACTTGGTGGTAAATATGTGTACAATATACTAACATGCATGCATCATATGTACAAATCACAACATGATTATGTACAAATGTCCCACATAAATTTTGTATACATATAAATTAAATCAACTTCGTTTGAGAAAGCTATAAGCCAATTAATTAAGCAAATTACCATTGACCCTAGTTAACAAAGCTTGATTAGCCGCCATTTATTCTCACAAGAGTGTACACACCAAGTACTCTCTACCTAACTAATAAAAACCTAGAGTAATTAACTAGCTATATCTAGAGCGAGCGCAGCCTTATTAGGATGGGAAAAGCCGGATTACCTTTTTAATGACCAGTTGTATATATGTCCCCTAAGCCTAATTACCCCAATTAATTAATTATAAAATATTAAACACGACGTGCTAGTTCTAGGGGCAGCTATTGGAGACCTTAAAAAGTTGAGAAATTAATTAAGCAACTAATTTGACCAAACCATATCTTGTTAACGGTACTAAGTATACACACCAGTCGAAACCAATAGCAAAAATTGAATTAATCTTCGAGGAGTAAAATATAGAGAGAAAATGCGGTGATGAATAGTGGGGGTTGGTCGTTGCTGTAGCTAGCTAGATAGGCAGAATTGGGGTATGCAATTTGCAATTTGATCACTTAACTACTAACATTATTGTATTTGATGATGCAATTACTAATTAATTACCTCCAGGATGAAGGGTATCCACTATCCAGTAGGATGTTAATGGGTCGCTGTGTCGGCTAATTTGATTCAATTGTCATGACCCGTAAAAAGTATTGGGCTACTCAAATGAAATTAAGTTTACTTTAACTTTAATAATTATGGGTTTTGGTTGCGTTTGAATTGGGTTCAATTTGAGTTAGATTCTAATAAGTGTATTTGGCTCCAAATAATTGTAAACACAAAAAGATAATATCGACAATCTCATTAACTGGTTTCAATCCAAATTGCACTTTTAATGTTGGTATTTTCACCTCTCTGTTTGTTTCATAACAGAAAAAAATGACAAAAATGCATTAGAATTGGGTATTCATGATATTATTGGTATATTTTAGATCCAAACTAAAAAGTTGGATATATGAGCCTTCCTCAAAAGTATAATTACTCATATCTGATTTGACGCGTAATAAATTGTTCTTGGAGAATACCCAAATATTACATCTTTTTCCAACCTAGCTTGATATAATTAACCGGTGGGCTCAAGAAGGTGTAACCTAATTTTAAATTACATGTATACAAAATATTAAAATTTGACGACAATTTTAATGAAAAAATCTGATGAACCTGAATCATGTTAGTTCAACTCTGGTAGTCATATCAGATCAAAAGTCAGAATCAAATTATGATTACTTGAAAAAATGGTTACTAAAATTAGCTAGGTAAATCACTCGTCATTATATACTGACCAATCACCCACTTTCACGTCCAAATTAAAGGCATGACACCCAATGACCCAAACCTAATGGTAAACTAAGATGAAATTATCTTTTACCATCATATAGGCCTTTTGCTTAACTTGGTTGTTAACAAAATAATTTAGTGACCAAAACCGTGCTTTTAGTGACTACTCGCATCGGTTGCGAAAACTGGGGTTGTTGTAGTGACTCTTGGTGACGAAAAAAAAGCATAATCATTAAAAATAATATTACAGAAATTAGGCCATTGTCATGGTTTTGATTATCATCCATAATCTATCTCCTTTTTTTTAGCTGTCTCTTTTATAAATCATTCACCGCTGTCTTTTTTAATAACGACACTAATTAATTAAAGACCAAAACCGGAGATGACTCCTACACCATATAACCTAAAAAACTACGTTAATTAATCAATCTAAACAAACCCATCATCTAATTGCGCGTTTGGATTTTTACTATTAGCTAATGTATTTTTTTGTCCATTAGCTCCTTTTCTTGATGGATTTTTTTTAGAAAATTATCGTTTTAATTTGGAGGTAGCACTTGGTGGTGGGAGATGACTACCAATTGGTGTAGTGTTTTGTATCCTTCATGGGGAAGTGACGTCGTCGTTCTGCATATATAAATACACACATCACACAACAACAAAGCTTTCGATCGAGGAGAGGACACAACACCTAATCTACCCAAAATAGAAAATCTTTTCTTTTGTAAATGAGTACGTTTCCTTTTTGTTGTGTGAGTGGCATGAAAATTTGTTTGTCATTCGTGCTATTTTTATGCCTTGTTTTCTATTTTCCAATGGGATTTATTGAGAGTAGGGTTCATTGGAGAGTACATATTGCTAATAAATGATATATGATTTGTAACTTAACGTACATTTTCTTCTCAACAATTCGAGTAAATCAACTGGTTTCTGACATACTAACAGTCATTTGTGATCGATAGGTCTTCTGTTCGAATCTCGATGACCCATATATGTTCTGTTAATCACATGGTGTCTGAACATATGCAAATTTCAAGACCATATGAGTCGGTTTTCGATTGAGGAAATGTGTTAATAAATTGTATGTGATCCATAATTGAACCTCTCTCAACAATTCAAGTTATTGTGATCAATAATTTCAACACGGTCCACCATGGTTTTGTGTACAAGTCGGTATGAGTTGGTCATCTTCTGGAAAAAAAAAATAATCGACCATCCCTTTTGTTGATATGTATAAGAAAACATACATACACAGTAGTTTAAGACAATAGAACAATAATTTCAACAGAAAATATCGTATTCTTCGATTTTTCCTATACAACCTAATACTCCTGTGTAATTTTGGAATGAATCACAAGAGTCAAAGATGAGAGGCATTCTACTCACGCGTTGCACATAATCATTGCTCAATTCAACCCCTTTGGCCTTTCGCAACCAACACCTTTAATGTCTACGCACGACCCGACGACCACAAATCTAAAGAAACTTTGGCCTCCCTACGTACATCATTTTAGCCGTATATTCTTTGTTTCTCCATATCTTAAATTTCCCTTGGGAAGAAAGTAACTTGGGCAGGAAGGCGGTAATGGACCCAAACACTGTCTAGCCGTAGCTAGCTGTGATCTTTTAAGGACCGGACCACTACCGACACCAAATGGCCCCTACTTCCTCAAAGTGAAAAGGGTTCGCGATCAAGGCCTTATGGACACTAAAAAACGTGGACCTTTTGGCCACCAAATGGCACAATCATGATTCATTGTCTAACCTCCAAGAAATTAAAGTCGAGACTTTGAAAAGAAAGCTTTAGATCGAGAGAAAAGAACAAAAATGCCAATCGGATTCAAAGTGTTCAAAAGGGGTAATCATGCATGTCTTAGGGTGGGAGATGATCCGGTTCACACGGGATCGAATTGTGACGAACCGATGTTTGGAGGGAATCTGATTGAACATACTTTTGATTTGGTTTTGATTTTATGGATTATTTTTATGTATGAAGAAGATATGGACTAGATTTGAATTTGGACCGGGACCGAATCTCAACCAAATGAACCAAACATGATTTTGGTCCGACTCTGGTCCTCGTTTCTTAGTTTTGATCCGGCCATAAGTCAATTCAATATGGCTCTGAACCAAATCGATCGATGCACACCCCTATACATGTCCACCACCATAAATACTCCTTTCATTTTGTGACCGAATCGCCCAGACCATCTGAGCAGTAGATGAATTTTCGTAGCATAAGATAAGTCACTTCATAATTAGGGATTACATGAACGAATGAAAATACTGGGGGAAACTTATGCTTTGAGAAGTACGTGATTGCAATTCCAACTGATTTTAAAGATATCGTTCTTTCTTGATATGTACGTAATTAACTCATAAAAACAAAGTCATACACTAATATCGTAGATGTGTAGTAATTTGTGGGCCGGATTCGAGACATTGTATAACCAATACATCATAAGTTACATTCAAATTTTGAAGCCAAATGCCTAGCTATTGGAAATTACTACCCCAAATAATCGTTATAACTTGTGTTGTATGAATGGAATCTCCATCTAAGATGTCATCTCGCCGCTCAAAGATACAACTTGTTGCTAATTAACATTTGATTATCCAAATATTGGACCAAATAGCACGATATTGGCCAAGTGTTGATCAGACCTTCTAATTAATTAGTGTAAACATTAGCTCAAAACCTATAATTAATTAGTAGATATTATATACCATGCGCATTGGAACCTCCTCCCTATAAACACCCGCCATTTGTTTACCAACTAACACAGATTACTGCTTAAACTTAAACATCAGCATCCATCCCACTAATTAATTAACAAAAAACCGCGACATAAACGATAGTTTATTATAATCTAATCGTAATCGCTATCATTATCTCTCCATTAATCGATTCATTAGTCATTACAAACTTATTCTTGAATTCCGTCACGACAAATAACATGGATATTAATTAATATTACTTTATAATAATAACAATAAAGAAAACTAAACGGCAACATATCAACAATAGCTTCACCGGCCACGACAGGATGGCCGGTCGCCAGATCGCCGGCCGGTCACCATCATTATACTAAAAATAACAAAAGCCTCTGATTAATCTCTATTTTCTGTCCTAATTAATCCATCCATCGATGATTCCAAAATTAGTACTCTACTCATCTTCATTTAGAAGCTTCCGTATGTACTCTTCTTTCCTCCGCTATTACGTACAGCTTTTTTTTGTTTTCTTATTATATTATTTACAATTTAAATTTTTATTTAACCGTGTAATTCTTCACCGTCCGGCCGGCGATCACATCAAGGAGCACGCGTTGGGGTTCTCGTCGCTGAAGAACTGAGGCGCGTGGCCGGGGTGCTGTGGCCCCACCATCTGGTACCCCGCCGGAGGCGGCGGCGCCATCATGTACGACTCCTGATGGTGTCCGCCGTAGCCGTACCCACCGCCGCCGACCACACCGTGGCTCATCGTCGCCGGAGCGTATCCGTGCTGGACGTACTGCGGCTCCATGGCGTAGTGGTGCTGCTGCTGATGCGGCTCCGCGTAGTAGCTGCTCTGCCCGTACGATCCCCCGGCGGCCCAGTAGCTCGGCGCCGCCGTCGGCGCGTAACTGCCGTAGTATTCCATCTTGTTCACCTCCATCTTCGGAGCGGCAGCGGCAGCCTGGGCGCCGTCCGATTTCTTCCCTCCGCCGTCTCCTTCCTTCTTTTCACCCTTGGGCGCTTGACCACCTCCTTCTTTCCCCTTCTCCTTCTTCTCGCCGCCACCTCCGGCAGCGCCGGCGTCCTTCTTCTCGCCGGCCGGTGGGACAACATCCACCGTCCGATTGAGCTTCTCCCTGAGGTAAGGAGCCAGCTCCTTAACGTCCATCGTGCCTTTCACCGTTACCAAGTCCTTAGCTCCGTCAACCGCCACGCTGTCTACTCCTGTATATTAGGAAGAATCGAGAATCGCCACGTCAGATCATCATCACCGTAATTTTTTAAATATTGCCAACTAAATCTGACTTTCAAGAAATGGTAACCACCTACCAATATTTTAAAATCCCAATTACAATTTAATAATTAACTTTAAGGGTTCAAGGCTTTAAGCTGACCTTTGATCTTGAGGATTATCTTCTTGATCTTGTGGATGCAGCCGTCGCAGTGGGTTCTGATCTTCAGGACAACGGTGCTCTGTAACCGCAGAGGATTAATTAGCAATTAAACGCGGATTTACGGCAATTAATTCAATAAAACGGCTGGCATTAGTATTAGTTGGCAGTGATTAATTTATTGACGCAATTAGTATGAAGTAACTACCTCTTTAGGTGGAGCCGGTTTCTTCTCCTCCGCCTTCTTCTCCTCCGGTTTTTTCTCCTCCGCCTTCTTCTCGGCTTTCTCGCCACCGCCGCCTCCGCCCTTCTTGTCACCGGCGAGAGGAGCTCCGCCGCCTCCGCCCTTCTTGTCGCCGGCGGGAGGAGCTCCGCCGCCTTCCTTCTTAGGCTGGGGCGAGACGATATCCACCTGCTTCTTCATTTTCTCCTCAACCCTGGCCTTCACCCGGCCGGGATCCACCTTCCCGGTCACCGTCAGTTTGTTGGCCGAACAGTCCGTTTTCACATCCTCCACACCTGCCAAACCAAAAAAACAAAAATTCAGCCATCTCACAGCAACCGATTTTGAATCTAATTCTCACAATCTCGATTTCTTTAATTAATTGACAACCGAATTCCGATCCAGATCTCGAATCGATAGAGGGGAGGAATGGAATTGAATTTTTACCTTCCATGTGCTTGACGGCGCGGCGGATTTTCTTGGCGCACCCCTCGCAATGCATGTCCATCTTGTAGACAGAGACGACCTTCCCTCCGCCGTCGTCCTTCCTCTCACCACCCCCGCCGGCAGCAGGAGCAGCGGCGGCGGGCTTCTTCTCGCCTTCGCCCTTCCCTCCTCCGTCTTTCTGCAAACACGGGACACAAAAAAAACAAACGCGTCAGAATTACAGTGAAAACAGCCGGAGAAACCGATTTATCTTCCAGAATTCGACGAACGGAAAGGAAGCAGAACGAACCTCGGCGCCCATCGGAGTTTCTCTTGTAGATGTTTGGATAGAGGTAAAGTGGAGTATTGGGAGTTTGGGACTCTGTTTTGGTAGTAATAGAGAGAGATGAGAGAACAGAGGATTTTCGAGGAAGTTTTGTTTATTTGAAGGGAGCTGAAGGGGGAGGAGGGAAGGTGGGAATATATAAGGGGGAACTGGGAAGGCGGTGGGCGTGGGCGCGTGGGTTTTCACTTTTTGGAGGTTAGTTGCGGGCAAGGGTGTCAAACCGGTTTATATCGTTGTGTCGGTTTGGTAAGTGGAATGGTACGACCGGTGATATAACTAGTTTGTGTCGATTCATGCCGGTTTAAAAAATGTGAAAACAATTAATATCCAATGTATTTAAACATATTTGTGGACAATTGAGTTACAATCCAACAAATATCATCAACTTTTAACTGTTACATTCATAAAATGAATAATAAATTAATTTTTGTATTCATTAAATTCATTAAAATGATATCATTTTACTTAGCATACGTAAATCGGTCATACCGGCATACCGGTGGTGTCATGCCGGTTTCATGACCGGCACAGGTTCAACCGGGTGGCATGCCACCGGCATGACAACCATGATTGCTGGAGAAGGAGAGAGTATGCGTTATGGTATGTATGTATGTATGGTTATAATGGTATGGAGGTCAGGATGAGTGGGCGGGAGAAGGGGGCAAGGGGCATGCCGCCTGGTTGGACTAATGGTTGTCTTGAAACGACGGCTTCATGACAAAAACCATTTGTTGGATGGAGGGGGTTTCTTCAACTTGACCCGTCGAGGGGCACTCTCGTCATTTCCACCTCTCTCTTGCGAAATCGCCTGAATTAATCATTGGGTGCGATAGTTACTGCTCGATATTTTCAAGATTGCTCGCGCGGTATCTTCTGATTTCATGTGATAGTAATTTTGCTGCTCAATTCACTATCTAGATATGAGAAATCGAGAGATCGGAGGGTTGAAAAAGGTGAAACCGCCTCCTCTTAGTGGAAGGGTGCGCTCGTATAAAGCATTGGTTGGGGCGTTTGGTTAGGGTAAAGATCTGAGGATCGAGAAAAGGCATTGCAAGCAACTGAATGAATTTCGTTGGGTTTGAGCGATTCGTTAATGTGTCCAAACATTAAAGTGGATAAGGCCACCCGAAAGGTCGTCGATGAGGGGTTTTCTCATGTGGAACGAGTTTAATACTTTATGTTGCTCTATTCTTGATTTAGTTTAAATAATCAATCAGAGCATTATTCATTGAAATAAACCCTAGCTCTCGTTAATATCATGATTAGCAGGTCCTGACACACTATATCGAAAACCTTTTTTTACTTTGTAAACAAACTGTGTGATTCCTTCAAACTCTTTGGGATAACACGGGTCAAAATGATGATGGTTTCCGGTACAATATTCTATATGAAGTATACCATGATAAAATCATATTAGCTAAGTCTGAAATACGTGAGTTTACTAACACAATTGTTGGATATAAGGGTGTATCACAATTCAAATCTTTAGAATTTAGAATTATTTGGATTTCACATGGATTCTCCATATATATGTTTACACTTGTAGTTGTAGTGACCAAGAGAGACCTCCCTCGGGTGAAGATGGAACAAACTAAGAAAAATACCTTGGACTTGGTGTGGCTCATATCCGGCCGTCTTATGCAAAACACAAAGATGGATAATTCCTAAGCCTTTTGAGGTTTTCTTATCTATTTCCCCGCAAGTTAGATGTGAAAATGAAATAGAGATTTGGACTCTGCTAATTTTGGGGTATATATATTAGAGAGCAATTAAAAAGTAATGACACCAACCACCATTAATTAGATAAAAAATCGAATTTGTTTTCATGCACTAGTTTTGGATTAAATTTCCCTATAAACCATGCATGCAATTTGGGGTCATCCATATATAATAATGGTTCAGGTCAGGGCGTAGGTGCGATAAAATACTTCGGGGAGTTGAAAATAAGCGTAGATTCAGAGATTTCCGAATAGGTCAATTTTTTAAACTGTTGTTGAATTCATAGGCAGGCAAGATACAACCTGACGAACTAATCTTCTTCAGCTCTAGGCATTAATACCTAAAATTCAAAAAGGGAATGTCAGCGCATCAAGGAAAAAACGATTAATTTCTATCAATAGGCCTGCTAAAGACCCAAACCATAAAGTACTTATTACTGGTGCCACGGATAAATATGTTTTTAAATCTCGCATTTCAATACGTACGATTACCTTACCGTATGTCCGTTAAATGTTCTAATTTATATAATGAATTAATCGGAGTTTGGGATATAATACTATACCTAGCTAACCTCTGATAGTGAACCTTAGTTCTCAATTCTTTAACCCAAATCATAAGATTAATTTAATTTTAAAATAAAAATCAATGATTTTGATTCGTCGAAATTATTAAAACACATATAATATGTGCGACCTCTGTAAGAGAGTGACATAAGATTCATAATAACCTTCTCACAACAACTCGAGTTATTGGAATCAATTGGTTATTGACATGGTATCAGAGCTGGTTTGTCCTTGAGGCCAACCCATGTGCTAAAAGCAACCCATGAGCTTGAAGTTTGCATAGACGATCGCCATACCTTGTACTTTAATAAATTGTTAATATTGGGTGTTGTGAGGAGTTGAACACGTGATCTCAAGGACAAACCAACTCTAATACCATGATATAGACCAACTGATCCCAATAACTCGAGTTGTTGGAAGAGGTTCAATTGTGGATCATATACCATTTACTAACACACCATCTCAAACTCAAGCCACTCATATAAGCTTGGAATTTGCACAGACACAAGTCCGGACACGATGTGGTTAATAGAAATAGAGGGTGATCATCAAGATTCGAGCAAAAAAATCTTTCAATCATAGAAAGATCTAATACCATATAAAAACCAACTGTAAATTCTTACTATTTACATATGAAACTTATTGAAACATACAAATACGGTTTCTTATTAATTCCTATGTTTGAAACCTTCCAATTTAGTGGTTTCCTATATATGGGCCAAAAACTCCCATAAGTATCGAAAAATCCTAGAGACACACTTATTAAATTTATTATTCATTGAACAAGAAACATATTTTAATTTTTGCAAAGTCGATTTCAGGGGTTTAATCAGCCACACATCCACGCAATAATAATTATTATTCACATATTGACAAATGTGTCCAAAGTCGGGGGAAATGTTAGAACGAAAGGAATTTGACAGCGTTGGTTATCAGGATAAGGAAGATTTTATGCTTTGCTTACGTAATCCATGATGCAAAATGATTATAACCAAATTGAATTTATCCATTATCCCTTTCCATTTCACCTCCCCCAAGGGAAGAAAAATAGTTTTGATTGTTCTGTTCGAGCTCGAGCCCACCAGATGGAAGCGGCGGTTACCAATGGTGTTGGGTGGGGTATTCATGAAACCAACGACCATCAAGACACCTTCATGGTTGATTCCTTAATAAGAAATCCCATTTCTAGGATTATAATCATTAACGGTTTGATAAATAAGGGGTGAGTTCCTGTACAAAATTTAGTGGCTGCAAAACTAGTGCTTTAGATTTTTACTATCCTGATACGAATCATACCACAATTAATAAGATCGTAACCGAGAGGTAAGATATATATGAAGTTTTTAGGTTTAACAATTTTGGATTTGTATTTGTACTTGTACCATAGTCTTTCTCATTAATAAGTAGTAAATTATAGGGTTTGGTATGGTGTGTTGTATTAGATTCACTCTCCAAAATCATATCATTAAAGAGAAGAATTTTTTGGTGGTGGCTGTCGGTAGAGTTACGGTCGAATCGTCTGTTCTCATGAGTTTGTTGCATATTTGTAGGGGTCAAGCAGAAGGCATGATACCATGTGAAGAGTCGATAGGTTATGACGACAAATGTGTTGGTTTTACGTCATTCGCTTACGAGTAACACTTCATGGAATATCAAAGTCGGCACAGCTAATAGTAGTAAAGATGATTATTTTGTCGGTATATCGTATGTACTATTTGTAAGGGACTGGTGTAAATATGATTTATTATGAAACCTCTCCCAAAATATCAAGTTATCAACTAGTCCTTAATTAACATGGTATCAGAGCCGGGGTGATGACTAAGAGTCCTTATGTTTGAATTCTCATGATCCATAATATTACTGGTTAGTTTAAGCATAAAGTATTGTCAAGTACCATATGGTACCAATAACTCAAGTTGTTGGGAGAGTTTCAAGTATGAATCATATGTCATTCACTAACGCACAGCCTCCCCTCCCCCTCAAACGAAAACCTATTCATATGTGGTTTGAATTTTACACACTTCCTAGCACCATATGCTTGCAAGAATATGAGAGTTATCGGGATTCGAACATAAAACCTCCTTGTCAAAGACTTTGATACCATGTCAAGAACCATAACCATTTGGTCCCAATCACTCAAGTTCTTAGGAGAGGTTCAAGCTAAGTGTGGATCATATGTCATTCACTAGTAGGTATGATGTCGTTCAAGCTCATGGATTTCGGTTGAGGGAACTTGTAAAACAACGACAAATCAGATTCATTCTACAATATTTTTCTAATAACACGAATTATTGAAATCAACTAACGCTACACAATCTACACAAATCCCACGACCCATAGAATTTTGAAAAGATCAATCAAACATCGCCTTCATCCCACTAACATATGGCTATGACAAAAGTTTAATGGTAATAATAATAATAGTATTAATAGAAAAGTTTGTCATGAAATGGATGGCTAAGCCTAAAGCGATTTCGATATTAACTTAGATTGTGGCACTCTTTTTCCCTTTCACGGGACCTCTCCAGTCTCTCGGCGGGTAATACTGTTGGGGTATATGATCGCAATAGGCTGCGCACTGGAAATTTCCAAGAACATGTTTTGTGACTATAGTTAGTCTAATTTGCTCCAAATAGAGAACCCTCCTTTTTGACGAATTTGCTATCAGAATAGCAGTATGCATGCGGGAAATTTGAACTTAAATTCTACATTTTACAATTCCCTTCAACTTCATCCAAACCACCCTTATATTACCTTAAACTCAATTCATTGTTCGTTGGTCAACTTGAACCATAGGATAGAAGGATATCATAGCACAAGATTGGACCCTGTTTGTGAAGATGGCTGAACAGTTTTTGGAGCACTATGACTGGAAGTTTTGATTCTGACTGTTTAATCTATTTTGGAGTAGGTAGGTGGGATGAGGCGGACATGCGTACTCTTCTTGACATGACTTGTTTTATTCTTGATTAATTTTTCGCCTAAATAACATGTAATTTACTCAAATTACTTCGGGTTTTACTTTTATTACCTCATATTTTAGTTATAATAAAGTTGTAAATATGTAAGAAGCTCAATTTCTCAAATATTTTTAACTACAGTTATCATGTGATAATTTATTTCTTTATTTTATCAATAAAAAATAAATATTTTAATGTTTTTCCTTTAAATGGATATGTGTCGACCTTCCCTGACCCACATCCCAATTACCCAACCTGTCACGAGACGGATATAAGTATCGAAATACTCACCCTCACCTTCTCATTGTCATTCCTGAACTACATTACTACTACTTTGAGATACAAAAGTGGAGATCGATTGATATTTTATCGATTTAAACCAAAATCATCATTACTTCATCTTTCGTTTTGTTGATAAATAAGAACTACATTACTTATAGAGGCACTACTAAATGAAAAGTTTTATCTGCAAATATTCCATGACTTCAAACTCGATATCTCGTTTCTACAAAAAAAAATCGATATCTGGCGACACGACGTCACTATGCTACTGCAATTAGACTAGAATCTTATTGCACTTCGAATGGGATGTATTGATATGATTTGAATCGGACTATCAGTCGCTACGACTGGTAGTTGGGGGTCTCTCTGCCTGGTCAGCGAGTGGGGTCCAGGGGCAACGCCCCCGGCCCGCGGTGTATGAGCTCAATGTTATTTGGGTTCGGGTTCTGGGCCTGGTCTGTAACCGTTTCCTTTGCCATATTGGATTAAGTTTAGACCCACATGGAGAAGCACTATAAATACTTCTCATACTCCTCTGTAATCTGTAATCTCCTCGATATAGTGAAACTGGCTCTCTCTCGCCCGTGGACTAGCTAACACACATCGGGTTAGTGAACCACGTAAATCGTGTGTCTGTGTTTTTCGATTCTCGCTTTCGTATTCTTGCTTTATCGATTCCGGCTATTTCCCGATCCGTAGCAACGCGTTTATAACAGGATGTGTTTCAAGTTCGCTCTCGCGCTCTTGGGCCTCGTCACAATCGGGCTACTCTATCCAGCTATGGGCCAGTCTTACATATCCGATTAGCCCATTAGATGACCAAAGGTTGCTGGGAACAAATCTGCACCACTTCGGGCCCGGCCCAACAAGGCAAAACGATTAAACGAAGCAACGAAACTAACCACATGCCGTTACGGCGTTAACCGCCGCAGCATTCTCTTGGTCGCCGAAACGACTGATTCAGTTAAGCTGGGGGGAAAATTCGGCGGGCTCTCTCTCTCTCTATCCTCGCCTCCGGCGCTCACCCGCGTTCTTGCCGCCGATGACTTCTTCACTCCGCGCCGTCAGTCCGCGAATCGTCCTCCACCTGAAGCCTCTACTCGTTTCACTCCCTCAGCTGTCTGCCTCTGCTTTTTCGCCTCGTAGGCTCTTCGCGCCAATCAACCCTAGAGCTCTCCTGTGTACCGCAGCCGCGCGTGACAATGGCGGGAGGTCTGGCGCCCTGACTGGACCGCCGGTGCTGGAGGAGGAAGAATCGGTGACGAAAATCGACGTCAATCCTCCTAAAGGAACTAGAGATTTCCCTCCCGAGGAAATGCGCCTCCGCAACTGGCTCTTCCACAACTTCAAAGAGGTAACAGTAGAACTAGAGCTGTCGAATTGGGGAGAGAGAATGACTGCAATGGCTTCTGTTGTGTGTAATTTTCTGCACCGGATTTCTTCATGTGAAGGTTTCGCGGTTGTATGGCTTCGAAGAGGTTGATTTCCCGGTTTTGGAGTCGGAGGCCTTGTTCATTAGGAAAGCTGGAGAGGAAATTAGGGACCAGGTTGGTATGCTTGACTGAAACTGTTTGAGTCTTCAGCCATAGCTAGAATCAATTTTGTGTGATGAGTGAAGGAAAAGTAAACTGAAATGTGATTGCTCTGCTCAAATTTTGATGCTTGGGG